AGAACCTTATAGTTCTAAGGCTGGTAAACCCACTATGAATTAATGTCACTGATTTACCTAAAGTGGTCCACTGGGGTTGACATGCTATTGCGAAAATAAACTTCATTCCTTATGGCAAAGCCTCTTCGCAAGTAGACTACCCAAAATTTCCTTTCTATCCTCGAATCCCATAAAGTTAGGTAATCGCTCAAGGTTATTTTAGCCTTTTAAATTTTCATCTCTTCTAAATTAGCAGAAGATATCGATGGCTAAATTAGGTGCACGTACTTGTAGAGAACTTCTTTCTCTAATATGTGATGGGTTGCCAAAACTTCTGATTCCCAAGATTTTTCATTTGAAGGAACGGAACGGACATATTCATTAATACGTCTACTTTTGTGCAGTCTCTAGAACACTCCATTGAACAACAACAAATAAAAGTAAATGCGTAAAACTTGTTGAGACGTAAATTATGATTTTATCAGATCTTCCCAATCTTGGTACTTCTTGCTGTTCTTGCCAATGTTACTGTAGCACTGGTGCTATCGAGAAAGAATATGGTATCTCCGACGAATGTTGTATTGAAATACATGGCAATTGCTGAATTACTGGTTGGCATTGTGCCTCTTCCATGGACAATTTTCTTCTACACAATGGGGTTAGTTGTATTATTCCCACATAAGAATGATGAAAAGATTTGTGGAAAGTGAAAATTAAAGTAGGAAAGCGCTTACTGGTGTAGCGCGCATGAAAATAACGGCGTTATAGTTTATAAAGATGTGTGAAGCAAACTCTTCTATATTTGCATCATTCATGTTCATTTCAGCACTTTATAATAAGTCAAGGTAAAAATGAAAGAATGTGTTCGCGTAGCGAATGCTGATCATCCAGCTCATCCCATGTCTTCATCAAAGCTGCTTTCAACGAATTATCGAGCCACGATCCATTGCTTTCTAAGAAAACTACATAAAGTAGTCCATGAAACAGAGTTCAAAGGTTTCTGGAAGCTCAAACTCGCTTGCAAAAAATTATTCCGATCACTCTGGTTAGAAACTGGCTTGTGCGATGTTTTTGCATGTGACAAACCTTTGTCTTGTGGCTGTTGTTTCAACTCACTTACTTTTGGCTTACCCGAGTCTAGTGAATAAACAAATAAATGAATTTTCGACACGCTTATTGATCTA